ATCAATCATCATATGTTTGGCTGAAATTTTTATCTGCTCCATGGCAACATTTTTCTGGTGTTTTTACCTGTAGGTGAGTTTTGATGCACTTTCCTACATTTGTTTCTTACTGTATATTTGCATTTACTCTATGTAATTCTTTACAAAAACAACAACCCCCAACTCATCCTTGAATTAACTGGATTTTCCTGGCCCAGCTATTTGTCGGGGCTGAGAAGTACAGAGTAGCCTTCTTGACTCTCTATTTCTCTGCTGTTACAAAGACAGACACTTCCTATAGTTCTGTCTCCTCCTTGTTATTATTTGCACAGCCCACTTCTTCCAGTTCTTTGGAAAAACACAGTCCAGGAGGACTTCTGCTGAGGGAGCTGCTCACACATTGAATTTCTGATGTTCATACAAGGACTATAGCTTTCACAAAACAGGGTGGGCACTCATCTTTGAGAGTGTATTTTTTTCTGATGATACTTGATATCTACCCCTGCTGAACTTTCTGACTCCTTTCTGAATATTTCTTTTACTTCCTTCATACACCTTCTACCTCATTTGTTTATGCTAACTGTTACATGATCTGGGAGTTATCATTCTCTCTTTTTTTTTAAAGCAATTTCCAGGAGGAGAAGATGAACTATTCCAATGTATATAGCAATATTAATATTTTATGTTGATTTTCTTGTCATACTTGAACAATATGAAATATTTCAGTCTTTAAAAATAGCGCACATACATAAGAAGAAATTCAAGAATAGGGGAAGAACCATCCAAAAGGATTAGCAGTAACAATATCCCATCTTTTATAGAGCTAGGAATAGGGTTTGTTTTCACTAACCAGACTGCAAAATCTCTCCATACATGAACACTGGGTAATGTATACAAAAGGGTCCTGCCTCGGTAGAGGGGAATAATAATCCCTAGACTGAGCACTGCTTTACTCTCATTTAATAACTCTTAAAAGCAAGACCAGAAAGGGTCTGTTTCTAAGTACCTTAACTGCATCTTTAAAGATGTATGCTGTAAATTCTAAGGTAACCACTTAAATAACAAAAGAAAGAGTTATAATTAACAAAGGAGATTAAACAGAATGATAAAACCCATTCAGTTAATCCAAAAGAAGGTTGAAAAAGGGACAAATATGACAAACAGAAAGATGATAGACTTAAATGTAAACATATTATATTAAATGTAAATGGTATCGCTATCCTAATTAAAAGGCAGAGATGGTAAGATTGGCTTGCAATTTGCCTAATTCTCCTTGGTTAGATAAATTTCAATATTAGTACTTATGTATCTAATGAATAATTTATTTATATTCAATGGGAACACAGCATTTGGTACTGGGGATACTGCTCAAATAGACTGTTGATAGTTCCTCCTCACATGACCCTTACAATCTGGTATTGAATTCAGACAAGTAAATAGACCGTTAGAACAGATTGTAATAACAGAGGGCTTGGGCAGAGGAGTTTGACTCTTCCCTGTGTACCCGGAAACAACAATGCTTTGAAATTTATTAACACAATGACCACAGCTTATACTATTTTAATTACAATGATAGATAATTTCCCATACCTCTACAATATATAAAGCATTTCTACTAAATAATTGGCCATTTGTAATTAAGATTGGAGCAACACTGATGAGGGCTCCTGCCAAATCCACTTCTATGTATTTACCAATTCCCAAGTCTCTCCCCCTATTAGGTCAATGGGTCTCAACTTGGGCCAATTTTGCCCCCAGGGGACATTTGACAATGTCTGGAAATGTTTTGGGTTGTCACAACAGGGGTGGAGTACTACTGGAATTGAATGAGTAGAGGCTAGGGGTGGTGCTAAACATTCTGCAATGCACAGGGCAGCTCCCTATAACAAGGAATCACCAAGCCCCCAGGGTCAATAATGCCTTGTTTGAGAAACCCTGAAGTTGGATGACCATTTATCTCAGTTTGCCCAGGACTTCCCAAGTTTTAGCACTGAAAGTCTTGCATCTCAGGAAACTCCCCAGTTTCAGGTAAACAGCCAGGATTGATCACCCTACCTTCTACATGTTAATATTAGAAGAACAGCCTGTATTCACATAGTTGTTCCTTTGGTATGAACATTCAGTTCCCTATTGTAATGTGATAAAAATCATAATCAGCATGAACATGAATTGACACATTTTGTCCTGTATGACACCAAGTATGTTACCTGTACTACTGCTTTTAATCATTTTAACAATTATATGATATTGCTATTACTACCTCCATTTTACAATTGATAAAATATAGGCTTATAGAGTTCAGGTAAATTGTGAAATGTTACATGGCTGGTGACAGTAGAATTAAGATCATAAAATAAGGTCTATTTTGAGTATAATGAGTATAGTTGGCATAAACCTGCTTTGCAAGATTTAAAATATTTTCTCTATACTGTGTCAACCTCATAGCATAGCTTGTATTTATAATGATGATTGTCAGAATTATAAATCAAACAAAATTACATTTGATATAACTATGGCTTTCTTTTTTCGAGTTGCTGATTATAACAATGCTGCTTTAGATTTGAGCTGGTATGAAGAGTACAGTCTTCTCTTGAAAAGTACGGAATTTAAACCAAAGAGATTTGAGTCTAACTTGATATGTGATCTGAATGAATTACTTAATTTCTGAGTACTATGGGGGGGGGGTGCAAATTAAATGGGCTAAGTTTTCCGAAGTCCTTGTATAGTGCCTAGTCTGCCAAAGAAATTTCATAAGTGGGAGCTATAATTATCAATTTGAGGAAATTGCTTGATTTAAATGGCACAGATTAGTGTATTGGTGACATTTTCAGTAGGAAAGGAGAAAGGAAGCGAGACAGACAATGTGAATATCCCAACAGTTATAGTCTAATATAATGAAAAGACGTTGGAGTCAGAAAGGATTTGTGGAAATCCAGCTTAGTTACTTAGATACTATGTGAAAATGTAATATTTACCTTCTCTTAAATGAGGGAAATAATGCTCTTTACTGAACATTGTAAAGATTACGGCATAGAATACACATCCTATACATTTTCCCATTTTAAAAAAGAAAAGCAGCCCTATTCTTAGGACAGTATTTACAAATAGAGCGGGTTGAAAATCAAATACTTCACTGCAAATACTATTTTGAGTGACAAATAGTCAGTGATGGAAATGAAATATCTATTTTGCCTACAGCCAGCAGCCAGATAGCCAATTAAACAGGTGCAGTTCAATTTTGTTATGTGTATGAGGGAAGGTATGGCTCCTAATGTAAAGATGCATTCAGAGCTGCAATGTAATTAAAATGACTCTAAATTATAATGTACTGAATGTAACTACTAAATAGACAGGTGTGGGTAAAGTCGCTTTTGTCTTGTTTAGAGTAACAGTGTGTTTAACTTAGGAAAACACCACTAAATGTCTATAATTCTGTGATGAATGAAATGACACTTGTGAGGAAGGGGACTGATTGTGGAAGAATTACCACTGCCAGGCTGGGCAGTTTCCTGGGCAAAAGAATGATTAAACTGTCCTTCCCTGAATAAAATTGTTCCAGGTTTGTGGTGAACAACAGATGAACCAAGTGTATGATATACAAGTAAAGAGGCATGCCTTGAGAGGTCAATTCAGCATGAACAGAAATTTCACTGTTGAGAGCTCAGAGGATGAAGGACAGCCAGGAATTAAATTGAGAGTGTATTCCTTCATGTTCGTGAAGATTTACCCGGATATTTTTTTACTTTTTCTCTCATATTCTTTCTCTCCCTTCGTTGGATTTCAAGACAATCTGACTACTCGGTCCCCTTTTGTTTTCATGCTGGTTATAGAGAGAAGCAATTATGGAATGTGCAGGTCAAACGGGGATTGGGGAAATGAGAAAGTGGTTCTGAAATGCTAACTGCTTTCTGCTGCCACTGAGGTTCATTCAATGTGACAGACTCCAGGTGACATAACTGGAGTTAGAGCTACAATAATTGTTTAGGAAGATAATTACGGATACGTGGGACTCATTTGGATATTATAAACAAAGAAAATATTATCAGGAAAAAAAAAAGTAAAACTATCAGCAGAAATTCTCATAAAATAATGACCCACAGGCAGAAGCAAATTCAAGTTTTGTGGGGCTTGATATTTATATAACTTTTATATATAATTTATATACCCATTAAATACAAACAATGAATATTAGAAGGACGAAATCACAGTGAGTTACTGGGACTTTGGAGACTGAAATCTTTTTCTTCTCAAATTTCTTTAGACAATTTCTAGAACTCCTCACCCCAAAGTGTTTGCTAAATGCAACCTCAACTTCTCCTCTGCATTCACAACACTCAAACTCTCAACAACTCCTAGGACACACTGGAGGCCTGGCTATTAAGCTTCATTGGCAGCATCCTCTGCCTACAAAAACTTCCCGCTGAAGCTCATTTTATCCTGTTTGAGAAGCCTACAATTACCGTGAAGCATAAATAACAGAAACTTTCCATCTGATGCTTTTTATTTCATTATAAGAGCTGAAAACCTCACACACCTATCACCTGTCTGGACCTCGGCCTCGCAGCTTGTATCAATCCTGGGTTTTACAGGTACCGGAATGGTGTTCAGCTGGGCCTCGGGCTGCTCACCACGTTGCATGCCCACAGCCGGAGCCCGTGGGGAGCGCACTCAGAGTGCGGCTGGGGGCTGGGGGCCGGGGGCCGGGCTGCACGCCGGAGGGCGAGCCAGCGCCGCGCCTCCGGCTGATTGGCGGGGCCCGGCCCCTGGGGGCGGGCTCTACCCCGTTCTGGCCCGGCCCGGGGTGGCTATATTGGCACCGTTTCTGCTGGGTTAAGTCGCTTCCTTGCGCGGAGCTGGACCTAAGGCGAGGGCTTGTGAGGGCGGCGCTGGCGCAGGAAGCGGAGCGAGGCTGCTGAGAGCGAGCAGGGGGCTGCGGGGCTGTAGTGAGATGAAGCAGCGGCTCAGGGAGCGGAGGCTGGCGGTGTGGCGAGACGGGCCGGCCCGGGGCTGGGGCTGCTGCTCGGGAGGCTGTTGAGGCGCCGCGGCGGCCAGTGCGAAGAGCGGCGGGCGAGAGAGAGGAGAGCCCGCGGAGCGAGGGGGAAGCCGGCTGGCTCGGGTTGGCCTCCCGGGTTGTGATCCCCCGGGTGGAACCATGCGGGTGGCCAAGTGGCTGGCGGGGCTGCTGTACCAGCTCTCGCTCTTCATCACCAGGTCTTGGGAAGTTCACTTCCACCCCAGGCAAGGTGAGGTCACCGCGCGGCGCCTTCAGCGGCGAGGTGGGGGCTCGGGGCCCGAGTGGGACAGGCGGACTGGGGGTGGCGGAGTGAGCGGCTCAGCCCTTTGGGGGGGCCCCTGGCCCTGCAGGGGCTCCCGGGACTCCCGGATTAGTTAGCCCCCAGCATCCTGAGAGGTTGCGGGTGCGTCGGGTTTCGAGGAATCGAGCGAGGGGTACATGACTCCCTCCTGGGACCACGCGGCGGGGGCGCGTGGGGCAGGGTGGCGCGTTCGCCGGAGGGCACGCGTCGGCGGCGGCCGGGAAGGGAAAAGGGCTGGGGGAAGGAGGTGGGCTGCTCGGGGCCATGAGTGCCGGGGTCCTCGCTTGGGGAGGGTGGAGCAAGTCGGGGGTGTGGGAAAGCAGAGCACGCACACTCATCGAGCGCACGTGTGTGTGTGCGCGCGCGCTCGCCAGCCTGTGTGCATTTGTCGCGCCCCCGGGTGTATCGGGACCTGGGACCTTGAACCTTTGGCGGGACGTTTGGTTGAAGAAGCCTGGGGTTGGGGAGTTGGAAACGCATCGTGGGGGGTGGGGGTGGGGATTCAATGGCTATATCACTGTGGTTTGCAGAAGCGCTGGTGAGGACTCTGGCCTCCTACGAAGTGGTGACCCCTGCGCGGGTCAATGAGTTCGGCGAAGTGTTCCCTCAGAGCCACCACTTCAGCCGGAGGAAGCGTAGCTCGGAGGCGCTGGAGCCCACGCCGTTCAGGACCCACTACCGAATTAGCGCCTACGGGCAGCTCTTCCAGCTGAACCTGAGCGCGGACGCGGCCTTCCTGGCGGCTGGTTACACCGAGGTGCACTTGGGAGGCCCCGCTCCCGGGGCGGAGGAACGCAGCGGGGTGCCTCCAGACTTGCGCCACTGCTTCTACCGCGGCCAGGTCAATGCTCACGAGGATCATACAGCTGTCTTCAGCCTCTGTGGAGGCCTGGTAAGCGCCCTCGGGTCCTTTGGCATTTTCTTGGGATCTGGTGAAGAGCTGCATTCAGGCAGCCGTCACGTGGGTTCTTCCGAGTTGGTTGGTGACTCGAGATCAGAGTGGGCCACCCGAGGGATTAACACCTATTAATAGATGAACCCAAGCTAGATGGCACGCCTCCCTACAGTGAGAGGGGCTGGGAAGAACAGCATGTCTACCTGCTGGGCAAAATTGATTCTCCTGAGCAAAGATGAGACTTACTTGAAAGTGTCAGACAGAGCCTAGGCTAGTGAGTCAGGGAGTGGCCTTATGAGGCCTCTGTTACAAATGAAGTGTGATTTCACTCAGACACATCCATTTCTGACCACCTATTGAGGCAGAATCTCCTGCGTTTACTTAACTTTGTTCTTTGGATTTAGGATGATAGAAGGAAAAGAATGAATACACATAAAAGGAAAAGGTTTAAAAAGGAAGAGTTAGGCTTTTGATAATATGGGGATGGCTATTAATCTGTGAAGTACAGAATAGAGAAGTCGAATCTGCCTGTTTAAAAGGCATGGTTGTTTAAAAATGTATCTACATGTATCTTCAAAATGTATCTACAAAGGCCTTGGTGTCAGCCAATGGGCGTTAGAGTGACAAGAGCAAGAGATGCAGACTTGGTAAAAACCTCACTGTGGAAAGAGGAAATGAAGTGAAACACTGGGTTCTATGTGTTTCATTTGTTTGCCTCGAAAACAGAGGTTCTAAATCTTTTTTTGCCATGAACTTCAGCAGTCTGGGGAAGCCTAGGACCTCTTCCCTAAATTCTTCTAAAATAATAACTTGTATCTTATTTTACACATTTAAAATTATGCAATTGGCTTCCTTTTGGATGCTAACAATAATCAACCATGTTACAACGGCTACAGTTGCTGGTGTGATGATATAGACTTATTGAATAATGCATCATATAATACCTATTGGGGAGGGCCCTGCTTACTACTATACTTTTCTAATAAGGGGTATGAATGGTCCAGACAGCTACATCAACTCGAATGTGATACAAAAGTGCCGTTTTATTGGTAACAAAGTCACAATGTCTGTGGTTTTGCCTACAGTTATAATGGAAGGAAATCTGAAGTGTCAAAGGTTAGTGAAAATGAAGATGTAATGCTTTCCTTTCTGGGTTCATAGACTCCCAGATACATAACACTTCTGTTAGAACAGAGATGAGCTCACTTCATCAACTCCTCCAATACATATTCAAGAAGAAACAACTAGGACTTCAGTTACAGGATTCTAGTGTTTTCCCCAAGTATTTTTTTTTCAAATTTTAAGAGGAATTTCAGAACATCAACAGTGTTTATTCTTTGATTAAGTAAAAAATTGAAAGGGATGAAATATATGGTGATGGAAGGAGAACTGACTGGGTAGTGAACACAAAACATGATATATAGATGATGTATTACAGAATTGTACACTTGAAACCTATGTAATTTTACAATTGTCACCCCAATAAACTTTAATTAAAAAAAAAAGGAAAAAATTGAAACAGTTCTCACCAGGACAAGTTTAATACTTCCTCTCCTCTCAGGTTTATTGATGTAAGATGTCTTCCTGGGTGTGATTATTGGTTATTCCTAAATAAATTTGGAAATTCTCTTAAGTCTTTTTCATGCTATTATCTTGAGCTATATTTACATGGAATGCCTTGAACAACTTTTTTCCTTTCTGCTGTGGGTAAATGTGAAATGCTTGCAGCATTAGAATGGCAGAAACACACTAATATTTACATGGCCACCTAAACATCAAAGGAAAGAAAAATACTCTTTTCTATAACCTTTCAATATAATGTTTAGTTTGTCTGGAAAAGTCTATATTGACTATCCCACATTTGTCATAGTCAATATGTTTTCTTGATTTAGTATTTTATGGCATGGAAAAACATTCCAGATGGGAAGCATTATTAGGAGCGATGTTTCTGCTCATGTTGATTCATAATGTTGGCGTAGTTCAAATTATTATTCAGTGTCCCCTTTTGAAATCAGAAAACAGTTGGAAATGTTTAAGTCTTAACCGGAGTTCATCCTTTCCTGTCACTGTCAATTTGGATATGGTGGCTTAAGTCACGATGCATTGTTAATCTGATTTATGTATGCACTTTTATTTCTGATAGACTTATTGATATATCAGAGTTTAATTTAACATTTTAAAAACTTACTTTCATACCTATGTAACTCAGTTTTATCTTAATTTCTTTGTATTTTGAAGACTACGTTGAAGACATTAGTCATGGTAGAGATAGAAAATTTCCAGTAATACAGCAAATAGAGATACCAGGATCTAAAAATCTTTTTTTTTTTTTGTAGTGTGATCATGAGCAATTATAAATCTAAATTGTTAATGAGGCTAGTTGTGTTTCTTTGATCTTATTTTTGATATTAGTACTAAAACATATGTATTTAATTGTGTATTTTATTTCTAACCTGACTCTGTCATTAACTTTCTTTAGATTATTGTTACATCAAATAGTAGAGCTTCTGGTAGGTTTTAAGAGTCTATTTGTCATTGTATCAAATTCTTCTTTCTCATCTCAGGTTAGACTTTAGATCCGGATAAAACTGTGGTACCCACACCCTGGCCCAACTGAATTGTTTGCAGATCAGTCTTGACACAATGCTCCAGAAGTCAATGCCAACCTTCTGGCCCTGTTCCTGCTGGCTTCCCGACTTACCTTTGGGATTTTGTGTCTGAGACTGGGATGATCTGGCTTTGACCTCTGTCAGGCCATTAAACCCTGAACGAGTTTTTGAGTCAGTCTTGTTAACTTAGGGTTCTCTTTTTTTCTAGTTGCTCTTTGCTTTGTTTTAGCTTTGCTTTTAATCATGAAGGGATGTTGTACTTAATCAAATGTTTTTTTCCAGAACATATTGAAGTGAGCATGTGATTTCCTCATTTTTTTCTGCTCATGTGTGTTATACATCTCTGGATTTAAGCATACATTGACCATTGATGAAAATGGACCCCATACAGGGCCATTCCATGTTCTATCTTTGTATTGTTTGGGAGGAAGGTGGGAAAAATCATACTGTCTATCCTCCAGTTTCTCTAGTCTCTGATTTCCTTTGTGCCTCAGTCTCTGTATCTTTCTGTCACAAGCAGCTGAATTCTGGACCTGAGAACTTGTGGCCTTTCTTTGCTCAGTTAGGGCTCGCCGACTCCTTCCTCCTGGGCTCTCAGTGGTAATGCATATCCCTCTGTCTTCTGGTTGCAACGTAGATCTAATTTCTTATATGGTTGATGCATTCATTGTGCAGACCCCAGATACAAGGGTCACTTTGCCCCTGCTGCAGTGCCCTCTCCATGTAGAGTTGGTTTAGTGATGCTACTGGTAATCTCCCAGGCCCCTCTAAGGGTCTGAAACCCTCCATGGCCTTTGAAAGTCAAAGGGGACTTGGTTCCCCTCTTTGCCAAACTCTGCCACACCTCTAATTTTGGGGTGTGTGTGTGTGGTGGGGGGACTCTTTCAGAGGGTCCCTTCCCTGAATCCCACATAGCATGCTAAAGCACTTTCCTTGGCAGTTTTGTTTAACATGTTTGTCTCCGGGATCTTAACCCCCAGTGGAGATGTTAGCACACATGCATCTTTCCAACTGTTTGCTTTGCCACCATCACCCTTTTCTTCCTGGAATCTACTGAGTTCCCCTTTCACATCTCAGTTAACCTGTTCCCCTTCCAGCTTTCCACTTGAGGTAGCATCTGTCCTTCCTTTCTCTGGTGGCTGCTGAGGAATGTGACTTTCAGAGGAAAAGGATGCGAAATTTAGTATTTTCAAAATATCCTGTACATACAACCATTTTAGAAAATGGACACCCCAACATGTATATAGATTATGTTTAGTTGCTAATGTTGCTTTAACTCCAAATAATGTGAATTAATTTTTCTTTTAATTTCTACATGGTTAATTTTTTTCCACTTCTAGAAGTTTTGGTATTTACATGTTTTTCTCATTCATTAAATCACTGAACCATGATGAGTATTGTTCAGTTTTCTTAAGAGTTTTGTCCCCAAGAACCAGAAGGGGCTAAGAATCTGCCATAAATTGTTTTGTGTGCATAACTTTTGCTTTTCTAAAATCTCTATAATATTTTTCTCATAAGTATAAGTATGTATCACATAATTCAAACATTTCTGAATAGAAGTTGATACATTTCTAAAATCTATAGTAGATATGAAAATAGAGCTGAATCATAAAATTACCTATAATGTTATGGGTGAGACTTTGTTATTAGTCCACTGATGCACATTGATACAGAATGTATAGTTATCAGGTCTTCATATCCGTATATTCAACTATAAACTTTGTTTTCATGGTCATAGTAACAATCTTTTCATAATGATGATACACTTTTGCCAAAGTAGAAGTCAACATTTAATAAGTTGGTGTATTTTTGGCATATACTTGTCGCGACAGCATGTATAAATTGTACAGCGGCTATTCCCCACAACCCCTGTACTCCACTCGCCCTCTTCTCATATTACCTGGTGGGTTCCATTCTTCCAGAGGCCCTCAGGGTCGAACCTGACCACCTAGACCGTTAACTTCACCATTTCTTGGTGGGATTTAAAGCAATGAAGTCTTTTTGGTTGAAAGAAACAGTTTCCAGATGTCATAAAACCAGACATTGCATCTGGGTTATACAGTATTCTCATGGAGTAGCTTGCAGTGGCTGTGTGTACTTTTTTGAAGTTTCTCATATGAACCATTCTACAGCGTGTCAGCCACTAATGCTCTCTGATGACTGATTATTGAGTTGCTCTAGTAACTTCTTGTTCAGACAAGAAATAATTGTATGGAAACAATCAGTAGGGTCGTTGCAGGATTTTGTCTATTCTGGGAAAATTTTATTTTCTAAATTCCTACTTGCCCAGAACTAACACAGCCCCAAGTCATTACACGTGCCGTTCTGTATTCATATTTTTTTTTGTTGAAAAATTCATAAGGACCTCCTTTAGTTATTCATGACATC